TGGTTAGACTGTCTTACTCCCTGAGCAATGCCAACGAGTGCAGTCTGCCTTCTGGAGAATGCCAACTAGTAGCTGTTGTGTCACACAAAACCCTCATGCAATCAAGTAAGCTGAAATAATTTCAAGCAGCCTGTCCCCTCAGGTCTGCTTCAACTGTGGTACATGGATGGGATGAGAACAACAGGTCTATCCACTCCTCTCTCTCTCCTTAGGCACTTGACCATGGTAGGGTATATGTGACATGCGTCCTTTGCTCCCTGCCTCCAAGATGTGGTGCAGCATGACAGCAATAATACAGCGGTGCACACAGAACAGCGTGTGTTGGGGAAAAAGGCCTGATGGAATTATTTGTTCCCCCACTGTTTGCAGGGCAAGGCTCAAGGCAGGACTGACAGCCCTCTCTGAGCATGCCTCATTTCACACCCATGCTCTGCAAGTATTTTACCTTTCATGCGTACTATGGCCTGGCTATGATCCTTGCCTTTGGCGTTTCTGGCATAGCAAGTATAATTCCGTTTCAAGTCCTCTGGTGTGGCTTTTGCAACTGTTAGAGTCCTTATGACAGTTTTGTCTTCAAAATCTCTAGTAATTTCACTGCAAGAGAAAAACTAGAGCATTACATACGTAAAAGTTCTTAATGACAAATACTCCTTTCCCTGATATAACCTGACTCTTTCTTTAAAAAAGCTAAAACACCTAAACTTGATATTTGTAAATCGATACATGCTTCAGATTTTAATATAGCTGCAGCTGTTCCTGTATCTGATTTTCCTTAATATTTATTTTGCCACTCAAAATTTTCTCATTGCAGCTGTATCACATTGCATTTTAGAGATAAAGGAAGTTCTGGTCTACAAAGCAGTAAGATCTTGTGAACTCAGGATTCAGAGCCCACGTCACATTCCCTGTGCAATCCTGGATGAGTCACTTTGTCTCTCTCTGCCTGAAGTGATCATCTGCAAAACGGGTATAATAGTATTTCCTCTTGACTTTCCTTTTCCTACGTAGGTTTGCAAACTGATTGGGGCAGCGACTGCCTTCCACATGTAATTCCGCACCGAGCAAACAGGACTCTCAACCTCATTTGGGTTCTTCATATAATTGAATCTCTATTCCTCCTAATCAATACTATGTGTAATACTGCATTTTTGTTTTCAGCCTCTGTTTTTTGAAACATTTTTATCACCTATGCTATTTGGGAACATTCCTCTAAATAAAATTGTGTCTGCCCCTGTTTTAGAAGTTCCACAATAGCACCAGCTGTTGGCACCACTACAAGGACCTGAACAAGTGATGATGTGAACTGGTAAACAAAGCTCCCTCAAATCCTTCTGTAAGACAAGACGCTGTCCAGGTCTGGAGGCCTCCTCCCTGGAGCTCCTGGTGCTCATCATGGCATGATGCAGACACAGGGGTTTCTGATTAACAGGGAAGTGGGGGACTCCACACTCACTTGCGAGGGAAAATGGGACTGTTGCATGTCTGTACCCACACACCTCTGCAGGACCCAAGAGAGGGTTAGATACAAATGAAGGTTCACATTACTATGTTACCTTTGTGTGACTTTTATCTTGGGGTCCATGATGTCATCTGTGTTTTTCCCATCTATGGTCCACCACACCTCAGTCCGGGAGTCTTTCAGGAAGGTGAAGAAGACCTCACAGGACAGAACAAGGTCATCTCCTGGGAAGAAAAGACCACGGTGAGGTATTGCAAAGCAGGAACAGCACCACCCCGACTTTTGTGCTTTCCAGTGATCCTACCAGCCTGAGCTCTGCCTCCTTTCAGGAGGGAATGAGGCCAGCATCCGCCTTCAGACATCTGATAACAGTTTAACACCCCAGACATGTTGATTCATGAGACAAATAAATAGGAAAAAATATCCTGCCTTCTCAAATGTGCAACAAATTCCTTGACTGCACCAAGTGACCCACCCAAAGGGAGATGCTCCATGCCAACCGCTTCCTTGGAAAGCCAGGCAGTGTTAATTGTCCGCACTGCACAGGGGACAGATGCCATAAAGCAAAGGATCCAGCTCCACAAAAGCATTTTGGTGTGGGAACCCTTGTTCAGGCATTTAACCTCCCCTCAATATCAGGCTTGGGAGTGCGAATATCTTTGTGATCAGCCCGTAAGTGATTTTATCTTATAGAGTGACTATGGAAGAAGTCCGACCTTCTGAGCCAAAAAAGCTGTGCTTTAAAGTGAAGACTCTGCTGCTCATCATCGGCACATTTATTACAGCAATGGAATGGGACAGTGATCCATTCAATACAGGGAATTGCTCCAAAGAGCTATCAGTCTAACAGATGGGGTGGGGGAAGGGGTGTGGTACCCCGTTACACAATGCTGTGAGGCCAGCAAAAGGAGAGCTGTCATTAATTAGGAAGTAATCAGCCAAAAAGGGAGAGGAGATGAGCAAGCAGTGGCCAGAAGGCTGAAGCCACTGAGGGGCTGAATGAGGGAGGGTTGGAGCAAACCACAGCCAGGGACAAGGCTGGGAAAAGGTCCTACAGGAATTTCTCTAAGCAGCTGAGGGTCCCCGTTTCATCTGCTTCTGCAGCTGCAGTCCTGCATCTCCGTGCCTGAATATCTATCTTTATTTGTGCTTGCAAAAATAAACTTTCAAAGCTGCGCCCTCCTATTCTGGCATGGAGAACTGGCACCCCACACTGTCTGCCAGGCAACTCGTGGCAGCTCATGCGCTCTGCGAGAGAAAGCACCAGGGTTGCAGTGGAAGGGGAGAGCTGCTGTGCCTGGCTGGGTCTCCCCGTCCCAGCAGGCAGGCTGCCAGGGCAGCAACAGCAGGCAGCAAGTGTTGCAATTTACCTGCTTCCAGTTCATAGACAACTTTCTCATTTGGAGAGATGAATTGTGGTGGCAAGGCCTTGTTCGGAGATCCTGTGGGAGAGAACAGAGAGCCCCCCACGGGGACCCAGACTTCATGAGAACCTGGGGTCCTTGCAGCTTCGCTCATGATGCCCTCGCGCCCCGCTGCACATGCCCCAATCTAACTTGTGATACAATCCTGCTGCAGAGTTCCATGGAAAGAGAAATCTAGTCCTAGTCCCCAAACTCAGGGCCAGACCCAGATTTTGAGGCTCCTTCAAAGTTTAGGTAAGTCTAGATACAAGTTTTTGGGCCTCTTACATCAGGAGAGCTCCATACTCCTCTCATCTCCCACTCAACATCTCCCACAAGACACAACCTATACCAGTTTCTTTTTATTGCTGCTTTTAAAAAACAAAATACAAACATCATTTCCTGTCGCAAGTATTTAATTCAGCTCTGAAAGCAGCAGTTGCCGTGGGACTCAGCATGTGCTCTGTTCACTGTTCACTAGGTTTTTAAGCTCTGTCTACAATTTCCTGGCAGGTAGGCTGAGCCCTCGTGCCTAGGACAGGCCTGTCCAAGCACTGGGCTGGGTAACTGGAGCCCTGCCTGGCTGATTAACAGTCTCACCTTCAGCACACAAGGCACTGAGATTGCAAGAAGACCAAAGCAAGTTGGCTATAATGGGGCAATCCCACAAATAATGAGGAGCAAAGGGCACTGGAGACAAAAATGACCGAGTGCCAGGGTTATGCATTCACATGCCAGCAGAGGGTATCCCTGGCCATCTCATGGACTGTACCTCACCAGCCTAAGCCTGGTCACCCTCTATGTTGTTTGGGGCATTTGACCTGGTGGTGGGTAGGACCTCCAGTGCAACATGTCCTGGGCAGTCACACAAGGCCCCAGCAAGCAAAAATATACCAGGTCAGTCGAGTAATGCAGATTGAGCACAACCACAAATGGATCCTGTGACAGACTCTTTCAGCTGTTTTCACCACTTCTGCAGTTATCCACCTGCATTTTTACACATTTTACAGTCATTCTTACCCACCACCTTCATCTTTATGGTTCTGGTGAGATTATAGGTTCTTCCGTGGTCCTTGAATGTCACAATACAAGTGTAATTCCCTTTATACACACTGCGGACAATGCCGATGACAAGCCTGGGCCCTTGGGGGTATCGCTCATAGAAGCCATCCACCAAGTTGCAGTTCTGGAGTCAGGCAGAAAAACACTTGAGTTTTGGGATTCAAAAGTAAAGATATTGGTTTAAATGCTACTACAAAGATCTGTTTTTAAACTATGAATACAATACTTGGGATTGTGATGTAGGTCAGATGTAAATACCATGAACTTTGAGCATGTTGGAACACAAACTGGTATGTTCACCTTGAAAATGAGGTGATGAAGCAGATGAGCCTAATAGTTTTATCCCCCCTTAAATACAGACAATTTTTTAAAAGAGAGGTCTCTGATCCAGAAGTACATTTGCAATCAAGGTGAGCACCTCAGCAGAGTGAAGAGTGAAAGTAGAAAGAGACAGGAAGAAAATGCTGATACATTCACAAATGGATACTAAGATTGAAGGACGTGTCCCCTGTTGATGCCAGAGTGCCTAACTCTTTCGGGACTAAATCAAGCTACCCTGAGTGACTTCAGCTGAGGATGAGGCCCCAGAATTGGTAACTGGCAAACGAGAATCTGTAGTACAGAAACCTTAATAACTCTTCTCTTTCTGTCAGACGAGGCAGGAAACCTCTGCCAAGTACCAAGCTAGAGATTCCTTTTCAGAAAGGAGTTATGCAGATGACATCTTGATTGTCATAAAACCCAAAGCTGTGCACATTTTCTAAGAGATTATTTCTGAACGGTACATTTCCAAATCAGATACATCCTAATGGGGCAGTTTAAGACAGAGGTCATATAACATTTTTAATTATTTTTATTAGGCACGGGATGACTTGCTGCCTGAAAAATTACTTCCATGGGCTTTTTGTTTCATTCTGCTAATTGATTGTTGAGATGTGAATTTCAATGAATGGTACAAGTAAAGCATTTCAACTACTGGAGTGAAACTGCTCATGTTGGATACAAAAGTAGTTTTTCCTGAAGGGTTTTAGAGTTGGGTTTTTTCTTTTGGGGTGTTTTTTTTCCTTTTCTTGTTTTTTTTTTTTTTTTTAAAATCAGCAGATACATTTGTTGCAAACTTTCTTTATTATTAAATTCACTCATACAGAACCTTCTATCTAGAAATCCATAAGCGCTTTACAAGCAGTCCCATAACCCTCTAGCTGTACATCCCCTGAGAATTCTTACTCTCTCTTGACTAAAGGCATCCACCTAGAGAAAAACATTGAGGTCAAAATTTAATAAAATTGAACAGTAATTCTGTAGGCAAGAGTCTGAGGATGGCTGGAGATAGTCTAATTATCAGAGCAGTATGGAGGGTGGGGTAGGGATGTCTCTGTCTTCAGAAAAGAGGTTTGCTGAATTATGTCAAACAGGGCACCCATGGTCCTTGCAGAGGCCTGATGTACAACTTCATTTCCTAACCTCAAAGGATTTTGGAAAGAATGCTATTTTCATTAGCAGGTGGGTGTTTTTTCTTTTTTGTTTTGTTTTGGGGTTTTTTGTGTTGGGTTCTTTTTTTTGGTGGTGGTGGTGGTGTGAGTTTTTGTTGTGTTTTTTTTTTCGTGTGTGTGTGTGTGTGTGGTGGTTTTTGGGTTTTTTTTGTTTGTTTTGTTTTTTTACAGAATAGGGACTATGAATCACAGTTTCCTCTACAGGGATAGTGACTGGCTCACACTGCTGCAGGTCAGGTACACTGCCCGCAGCTGAACTGAGGTTCCTAAATCCCTGCCAGAGTATTCTCCACTTGTGCATGCTGGTCAAAAAAGTTTCAGTGTTAGCGCTCAATTCCCTTCCAAGAGCAGTTTTAACCTTGAACTCAATGGAAACAAAGCTCTTAAAATTAGTAAAGCTTCATTAAACAGAGTCATCACCAGGGAGACTCTGAAACACAGCTCCATGATTCTCATGCCAACCATTGCTTTTTCAGATACAACACTGCGTTCCCCCACTGCCCAAATAAGTCCTTCTTACCAAGTACCACTTGACAGTTGGTGTTACACTAGCAGGGTAAAACCCGTCAATATCTGGACATATGATCTTCTCATTGGCGTGCTCCAAGTAGAACATCTCCTCAGTGGGTTTTATTGAATGGCTCACACAAGAGTGTTGGTCTTTTGGAACAACCTCCAAGGGAAATGCAACTTTGCTGCAGTAGGTTGTATTTCTAGAGACAGAGGAGGATACGGCTGATTAGTTGAAACTTGTTTACTCCTATAGCAGTGGAATGAAATAAAAATCACATCTGCAATAACGAGCATCATAGTGCTGATGAGGTACATACAGCCTTAGTTGACTCATTTATAAATGGGAAAGAAAACACCATCAGAGATGGCCACACTAGCTCAGAAAAGCCTATAAAGATGACTAACAAGCAACATCCACTCCCCTGCTGGTAAAGCAGATAATAGGGTCAAAGACATGATGAACAAGAGACAACATGAGGAAGATCAAAAAGAGCTCCTGTGCTCAGTGCATAGCAGATGCTATGTTCATTTTGTACCACACTTAGAGACACTTTTAATTTCCTAGAAGTCTGAATCTCATGAATCTTTGCCAAATTAACATGCAGTCAAAACATTACCCCTGCATCTGAAGCTATTTTTACTCTAGACATACAGATCACTTCTTAATGGTGAGTGCCTATGGATTTTGCCATGGGCTTAGCAATAATATTTTCATGGACACTTGCAGCTAGCAAAGAAAGGCATGCTCATTAATGTCTGCAAGGCTCCAAGCATTGTTACGATGTAAATTGGCTCAGCACTGAGCGGTCTTATAATTCTAAGATTCTTTTCCCATTAATGCTTATGTAAATGGTCTTCTCCCTACAGGAAGATCTGGTGCTAATAATAATTTTCCTGTGTCCATGGAAGTCCTTCGATTACGCTGAAGACGTACAGAAGCCACCCTGCACAACCTACCTGAGCATGCACGTATAATTCCCAGTGTCATTGAGAAGAGCAGGCCAGAACCAAAGGGTGTCTTTCTCCTTGCTGATGTGATTGTCCGGGAGACGAAAGTTAATGGGCTCCTCTAGATCCCGGTCCTGCCCAATCCTGTACCAGATCAGGGTTAAGCCAGCAGAATGGGCTGTGCTGTAGTTGTACTTCAAGAAGGTCTCAAAAAGTGGGCATTTGATCTTGGCAGGTTCCCCATCATAAATCTGGATCTGCTTCATGGTGTCCACACCCCAGTCATCACAGCGTTCTGCAGCCAGGAAGAACAAGGTACCTTAACTTGCAAGTCTGCAGGAGAAAAACAGTTCTGCCCATGTTTCCCACAGCCCTTAGTCCTGTCCCCATTAAAATCAGAGGCAAAACCATAGTGTTTTCAGTGGAAGCAAACTGGGCTTTTATAAAGCAGAGCAAGAATACTGTGTTCATTTCCAGACAACCTGCAAACCTCTCCTTTCATTTGTACACCTCCTACATTTCTTCCAAGCTCTTTATCCCCCATCAGGACAATAAGATGCATAACACCAGGCTTCCTAGAGAGCTCCAAGAAGATTCAGCCCTAAAACTTTGTGTGGAAAGACAAAATTTGGATGAAAACAATGCCAGAGGTGTGTGTGCATCCATGCACAGTGACAGGGAAGATGGAAATAGAGGTGTTAAATAAGAGAAAAAAAAAATAACAGTGCAAACATCAACCCTCCCTTAGAGCTATGGGCCATTGACCCTGCCAGAAGAAGCTGGACTGTGGGTTCTGGGAGCGAGGACTGTCTTTCCTGTGATGGATTCATGCGACGCCTGTGCATGCTATGATAACACAAACAGTACAAGCACCAATAAATGACACGTAGTGACTGTTTATAGTGAAGTTTGGGAAGGGAGGCTGAGAGGCAGAAGAGACAGCATGGAGGAGGTGGCAGCAGGTTCTCTTGGGGATCTCCAGGCAGCCCCCAGGTGCAATCCCCAAGCACAGTTCAACGTGCTCAGCGTGGCTCATGGCAGACTCAGGCTGACATAGAAACTGGGCAGCATGAAAAAAAAGCTGTGCAGTGCCTTTTTTTTTTTTTAATTTATTCTTGTCATTAGTGAACAGTTTCAGGACAAATAGCACAGTCAAAACCCATTTCTCTACCAAGTGCTCCTTTCCACTCCATTCCTCCTACCCATCAGGATGCCCAGTCACAAAGGGACTCGGTGCAAGCAAAGCACGGTACCAGGTCAGCAAACCTGCACTGCTGGCGCCAGCTGAGAGACACAGAGAAGCTGCTGTCACTGCATCTCCTGTCTCCCCGTGCTGACGAGGCAGAGCGTGGCATGGCACGCTTCCCAGGGCATCTCTTGTAGCTGCTGGGAGGCATTAGGTAGGGCCTCTCCAGTTTGCAGATATTAGAAGAACTCGGACCGAGAGGAAAAACAGAATACAATATGCTCTTTGAGCCCAATTCTTCTGATCTGACTTCACAGGCCCAAAGCAGGATTTCTGGCATTTTATCTTCCTTAAATAGACAGTGGGATGTAGCTTGGCCCCAAATTCATACTTAATTAAAAAAAGCAAAGAGATAAACCTTTGAGAAGATGGGCAGCAATGCTAACTCTTGTGGCTCAGCAATGGTTAGTCACAGCGAGGAGGAATCTGGGCCAGTAAGAATAGAAATGTTTTCTGGCAGGTTTACACATAAATGCAAATGCAAACTGCACTGCTCCTCCTGTGGTATGCCAAACACCCATATGACAGAGTGCTACTTCTGGAGGAAGAGAGTGAATCAGGCTAGGAAGAGGCAGTGAAGCTACCCAGAGTACCAGTATTTGCTAGTAGGAACCCCAAACCCGAATGGCTGGAGAGTGCCATCGCTCGTCATCTAAGAAACGCATAGGTATTTCTTTCAAAACTCCACAGCATCATCCAGTACGGCTGCTACCACAGCCAGCACGAAGGCTCATTTTGAAAGGCCAAACCACTATTGGAAGCCTAGTCACCACCACAGTCAAGGCCAACAGGAACCAGCACGCTCCTTTATGCTGGTGGGGTAAAGCTACTGGATTAGGCATGGTCAAGTAGTAAATGAGACAAATGAGCCTGCCAGACACTGCCTGCTAATTGCATGATAAAGGACTGATGACTATTCATGGAGGGGGGACATTTGTTTTTATAAAGAAAGGCCTTCCCTCTGAAAGGAACAGACCTAGGTCTGTAAATCAGGACACCCAGGTTCTCCTCCCGGCACCTGACTTTGCTGTCTCCTCTTGGGCTGCATAAAGGCAAATTGTCCTTATTACTTCAAATGGTAGGACTGGAGAGGAAGAAAACTATATAAAACATTACAGTACTGAAATTCTTGGAGACAAGATCAATGAAATTTGCAATCATGAACAGCTTTTGCATTTTGCAACAGCTCATGAATCAGCATTGTAGAACTACTTACCCGTTCTACCTGAATGAGTTATTGAAAATAAATACAACTACTTTATTTTTTTTCTTCCTAGATTACTCAAAAGCAATGTGTGGGCCTTGTCTTTTTGGCTCGGAAGAGGCAACTGTTACTGTTCTTTACTATGAGCTGTACCTGGAGATTTTGTCTCAGAGCTGGCTAATTCGCCTGACTTCAGGAACACTATCACACTGAACAGCTAGTCCTAAGGCTCCCCACACGTCCTGCCTTGGGGTGCTGCATGCTCTGAGCTGAACCCCAAACACAGCACATAACCGTGCTGGTAACGAGCAGCTACACACAGACCGCAGAAGCAGCCGTGCAGCTTGAGATCACAGGCTGTGCTTGCCACCCTGCTGGCAGGGACTCCTCCCGCCTGCCAGGGCAAAGCCAGCCCAGCACGGCTCTGAGGGCTCAGGGAGCAAAGCCACAAACCATCATTCACAGCAGAGATGGCAGAAACGCCTTGGGCTGGAGTGAGACCTCCTTCACACATAAAACAGCCAGGACAGAAGTCATGGCACTTCACGCAACTTCCCTCCTCCCCATGCCATGCTGACAGTAGTACTGCTATTTCAATTTTTTGGGGCGTTTTATGCCTGAGATAGCTGAGCTCTGCCTGACACGGCATGTGAGGGGACTGCAGGGCGTCCCTCACACACACCGTTATGAGCCTCTTCCTCCTCAGTTATGATGTGGCTCTTCTCCCTGTGCCAACAACATACTTTGCTGTGGTGTCACTTTTGCAGCAGACCCCAGTGGATGGGTCAAGCTCAGAGAGCTGGCTGCACTCCCCACACATGTGTAAAGCAGAGGGGATGCTCGCATTATTGCTATCGTTTTATTTGCATCCAACAGCTCCCTGCAACATTTTGTGCCCCTTCCACTATTTTAACCTTTATTGGATATTCAGAGTCTATTTGCTGCTAACACCAGCATGCAGCTACTTGGATGTCAGTGTGAACTGGAGATAGCCTGAAAAAAATGGCATAAAGCAGCTCCCACTATGAAAAGAAAAAAAAAAAAAAATACACATACACACACACACATATCCTGGCTCCATTAACAATATTTGAAAGGGCATTGCAGAAAGAAGATGCAAAAACCCAGTTCTAATTGTGAGAAACAGCACTAACTTCTACTGTGCTGTGCCCATTTGCAGCAACTCACCCTTGTTTTCAGGGCTAAGCCTAGGAAGGGAGTTTCTTCTCTCTTGAAATGTTTCTGCACAAAACAGCCATTGGAGTTAAGAGCAGCTCCTGATTAAATCGAGTGGGATCAGCATTCAGGTGGGATCAGCATTCATGCTCTGACTTCAGAGGTTCACTAACAAATGGAAACTAGTGAAGAGATGGGGGAGCTATATGCAACTCCGTGGTCCCTTCCATGCTGCAGCAAATGGAGCACTACACACATAACTGAGGGATACAATAAAATTCTCTAAAAATCCACCCTCCCTCAAATGCATCTTCCTAGAAATGCCTCTGCAAAACACTTTTGAAAGAAGCCATCTTTTTCTCATTACTGATGAGGTGTACTGCAGATGCCTCAACTGACCCCTCTTACTGCTGGGTGCTCTGTAATCACACAGCAGGGCAGCCTGTGACCCATAACACCTACCCGTGACAGACAATGCAGGAAAAAGGCAAGAAACAGTCCTGTTTCCACAGCCCTGCTTGGGAAAAGGTATGAGGGTTATACAGGCTAGAGGGAGGCTGCATGGTAGAAGGAAACCCACCTCCAGAATTGGAAGAGAAAGTGCAGACAGAAAGGTCAGGGTAAGGATGCCCACCTTGATTTCATGTGCCTTGAGATAAAGATAAGAGCAGGCTGCTGTGCTACTGCTCCTCCCTGATGCACACTGGGAACTAGGTGAACCGGCAAAGTTAACTCCAAATGTCTTCCTTGCTTGGACTGTATGTTGCAATCCGTGTTCATAGGGGTATCTACTACTGATACAAGGGACAGAAACCTCTTCTGTTAGAGAAATAGTCAGATCTGTCCCGTTTCTGAATCTGGTGCTATAATGTCCTTAAACAGCAGGTATCCCAAAACAGATTCCTTCTCAGAAGCCAAACAAAGCTGAAGACAGTGGCTTCTCCAGATGCAAAGTAGAAAATGAAAGGAGAGAAAAAAAATAGTGATCTTTCTCAGCTGCATAAAGGTGAAACGGACACTTCTGAAAACCTTTCCCAACCTTTCACTTACTGCACTGATTTACCCCCTTGAGAACAGAGCTCTGAATCACACACCTGAAATGCTCCTGAGATGCATCTGCAACACCCATTAAAAGCACCCACAGAGTCAAAACAGAGATGAAATTGGTGCAATTATTTGGATTTTTCAAGAAGAGACAAACTGTTTAACCCATGGATCAAAAAAGAAAACCTGAGTAAGGCCACATCAAGAAATGCTGCCCCATTTTCTCCATGGTTTGGCATTTCTATGCAGTCATCTTAAGTACCTTCATTTAAAAAAAAATTCTCAACCACCAAAACTCTACCAGCTCCAGACGACCTCCACCCCTTCCCTCCCTGGCATTCCCCTGGTTAAACAAACAAAGGCTTCCCCTAGTTAAAATTTCTGTGAAGAAATAATAAAGAGCCATTCTTATGAGAAGCCATCTATCATGCCGGCACAAATTACCCTGCCATTTGCCAAACTGATGCACCCTTCTTAATCGTCTCTAATTTTGGGAGGGGCCTGCCTTGCACGCGGACTGGGACTGTGCAGCGGCAGCAGAACACGAAGCCATCAATGCTGCCAGTTGAATGACACGGCAGACTCCTCTTCCCCACGCCATTTCAGCAGTAACATCAAATGGGGC